TAGTTCTTGAAGCCTTTTCATTTGCCGGTAACAAGCGCCGAACTTCGGAAAAAAGCGATTTCGGGAGCTTAAATGACGTTTTGGGGCCACTTTAGCCTACCGTAAGGGGGGTAGGTAATTACCTGAGGCCAAATCTGTTAAAATATCCTTAATCTACGCAAAAAGTTGTATTAGAAACACCATCAATAATGGGTGTTGAGCATCTACAACTCCCTTAAAAATGGCAGTCAAATCGGCGAAAAGCGTAAAGATGCGCTTCTTCAGTTTTACGCGCCGCATCTTTCTCCGGTTTTCGGCACCATTTACCCTTGACTTAAAGGCCTCAAATTTTTTTTACAGTGTTTTTACATCAAATAGAACCAATTTAGGGGGTGCTGCTCATTAAATTCCAAAAAGTCCAAAATAAGGGCCACCCTAATTACCACGCATTGAAATGAACAATTTGAAATCTAGTTTTTACGGATTAACAACCACAACAAGTGGAAAAGTTTTATAAAGGATTCATAAATAAGCTCTGAAGATGCCTGTGGGGGCAAAACGCATCAGCCAGTAAGTCATTAGAGTAAGCACCTTTGGCATATTTATCATCTGATTTAGTATCGAATTATAGGGTGCGGGTGCAATATGCATAGTAAACTTGTTCAGCAAGAGTTCCAATATTTAACTTGCCCATGATTGTGAGAGTTTTTTTCCTGGTGAGTTTTTGAAACAAATTGGCAAATGCATGTGATTTGGAGAGAATGTTTCTTTCTTACACATTCTTATTTATTACTACACAAAAATAGTGTTAATATCTCACTTCATACATTTTACAAAAAAATCATGAACATGAGAAGTATATTAAGGATATAACCTACTATATCTAATCGAAAAAATCCTTGTAAAGGAGTATTCAAGCAAGACCAGAATTTAAGTTTTGATAAAAAAGCAGTAGCACATTAGTTCACATCTAAAACTATGAGAGAGGATTAAAATAAAAGGTAAACATGAAGAAAATTTGGCAGAATGATGAGAAATTTTAAATGCTGGTCTTCATTGAAAGAAGTCCTTCAATTTCGCCAGATTTAACATTTAAATTTTTTTAAAAAGGGTCAATCAGTATGGATTTGATGAGTCATTTTTAGTCTAGAAAATATCAATTTGGCATCAAATCTATTTCAGGATTTCTAAATAAGCTGTTTAATCCTCTGGTGAGTAACAAGGTTTTAAAACGGTAAATTTAGTCCCTTATTTACACAGGAGTCAAGTTAAAGACTACTTCTAATGTTTTGTCAACAAGTCAATTCTGGAGGCACAGAATCATCTTAAAATTTTATGCTGCAAGAAAATGTAATGTTCTGAGATACTGCTGCATTGAAGAGCATGAACAGGAAAAATGGAAATGAGGGGGCAAAACAAACAAACAAAATCAAAACGAAACACATGAAACAATTATGAACAAAAATAATCCAGGGTTCAGCAGGAGAGGCAGGTAGATGAAGCTGTTAGGCTAAGCAGGGTAAGAAAACTAACCTAAGCTGAATTCCATGGTGCTACATGTGAAATAGACTGCAGCAAGCACAGAATCCAGCTTAGTCTAGTCCTCTAGGCAGACCAAGCAATTTTCACTCATCAATGATCGTTTTAGTGCGACCAATTCTCCTCCAAGAATGAACTTAGACAAAGAGCACGCAACGTTTCAAACTCATACTGCAAACGTAGCTCCGTTCGATATTGTATAGGTGCAAAAAAAATGAGGAAACAAAGATATATTTCAATTTTTAAGCTGCTACACCATTTCTGTCACTGACTGGTATGCAGGTCTATAAATGCAAGATAATAACTTTGATTGGGTTGTGATGGGCAACTTTTTTCATTGTGATTGGTAAAAAACTATTATCAGAGGGCCATCTACAATGAGAAAAAGTTATGCTTAAAATTGTCGAACTAGTGTCATTCTATAAAAACTAATTCTGTAGTGGCTATGAGCATGATGGTGTCATTTTTACAGTTGAAGGAAATTATACCAATTAATTGGTAACATTATGGTCATATGTACATAAGAGTTCTTATGGAACACCACAAATTTGATAATTTTATAGTGAAAAAAAACTATGTAAAAATAATATTCATTCATCTGTGACTTACGTGTTAAGTTTTTACAAGCCACAATACGAATTTTTACTACCCAGTTATGTTAAATTATAAAACTAAATGGGGGGCAAACATTCTAAATTTTCTGCAAAATTAAAGACATCGATCATGATTGGATCATGAGGAGACATCAAACAAAAAGAGAGAAAAAAACTAAAAAAACTTATTTTTGCTCTTCAACTCCAAAGAAACTAAAATAAAAACATCAGAGTCAATTTTTCCATCTTTAAACTGAAGTAACTAAGGAGATATTTGTGTGAGAGAAGGTTATCTTTCATTTAGCTACACTTTGGTAGATGAATATGTCGCTCAAATCAGGTCAAGATGAAAAACTTCCTTTAACACAATACAAACTGTACAGATATCTGGCTGAACAGTGATGATCGAAAAAGAAAAGAGTGAAGTAGATTTCTTAACAAAGATTCCTTAGTCCTTCAGTTCTTATGATCATAAAAGGAAGCAGCACATATTTACAACCTGAGAAGGAGATGACACAAAGAGTCTCCTGTCATAAAACACATCTCTTGATTGCTTATATTTCTGGCTTACTTTAACCCCACTTTCTGATAGTTCATAGGATTTTTGGAAATGGCGAAAGACCATTCAGAACAAGGACTGTGTAGAGATGGAGCGACTTTACTTTTTTCTACCATGATAAAATTTCACTTCAATTTACTTAAAATATTTTGGAAAATTGCCTTGAAAATTAGAAAATTTGAAAGGATAACCACTGTATAGGCAAAAATAAATGTTTCTGATTGTTAGGAAAACAAATTGAAAGCTACACAATCTTAGCAACATCCGGTGCACATTAATGACCAAACTGCAAGACAATGCATCTCCATTTGCAATGTAGCAGACTTCCTTTAATACTTGTTTTTTTTTTCTAGAAGACTTGTCAACATAATTTCTTGGAAAGTTCTGTAACTTTTCTTTTCTGATAGCAGAATATTCAGTTTAATTTCATACTACGAAGTTAGCTTAGTTCTTTTTGGAAAAATTGAATGGGACAGAAATGTAGAAACACTGCAGTGGAGGTACATGGTTTTTCACTTCAGCCATCGATACATGCCCTTTTTCTGAATTGTCCAGCACATGATAAACATATCAGTTTATAAAAAATGACTAAAAAAGATTCTCTGACTCCTCATCTAAATACAGGCAAAATCCTAGATTTCTACATGATCTCTATTAAGTTTAAAACTGGACAGTAATAATAATAAAGCTAACTCAAACATCTAAGTCCTTTTTTCATAACTTTGTAATTTGAGGCTTTTGTGACGGAATCAAATTACAAAGAAACTAAGCAGTCATTGATGCCACTGATAGCTTGCTTGTTTGCAAGAATCGCCTTTTCAGGTTATCGATGTAATCTCGATCTATATGTAATTTGATTCCATTCTTCATTGTAACATTCCAAATGACCGAGAACTTGATTTTGTGCTGAAATATTTGGGCGGAACTTGGCATAGAATGAAAAGTATGATGGTTTTGTTCTGGAGAATAAATGAAAAACAAAGAGGCTCAGAAGGAGAAAAAAAAAAAGCAATTAAGAACACAAAAAGGATAGCACCACGGTGAAGTCGTGAGGAAAATAAACTCAGAGCAGTCTTTTTGAAAAGATATTTATATGCGTTTAACCCATTCGCATGTTTAGACGAGTGTGTTCGTCATGGTGCACCTGAGAAAAAAATATTTTGGCACACCTACTTCTCACAACGTTACTAAGTGATTGACTTTGTCTTTGTACACTGACTTTTTGATAGATAGCGCTTCTTAACATTGTTCCAAATATCATTCTGGAGTATTCTGTTGCTAACCTGAATGAATCTTTTTGATTATTTAATAATATGAAGCAAGTATTTCAACAGAGAAACAAATTGTTTTGCTGTTGGCATAGTTGCCGCATTACTCATCACATGCGAATGGGCTAAGACCAAGTTATTCATCCTTAGTTAATTCTGCGAGGTTTTAGAAATTCAACATCTCTCCTCTTAGCTTTGGAAAAAGGTTGCAATAGCTTTTTTGTAGCCTTTAGATGTTGGTATATTTTTTCTGTTTTTCAAGAACTTTACCACGATCCGAAGTTGTAGTTTCTTTGGTCATCAAAAATAACAAAGCAAACAGTACAAAAAAAAACAAAAGTAAAGCTAAACAAATAAAGGCAAAACAATTTGAGGATTTCACATTAATGAACAGAAAAATTGAACATAGTATTTTAATTGGACACAAGATCTTTGCATTTTCACAAGAGCCCATAATCATTCATGAGTTCTTGCATGAGAAAGCGAATGGAGCATTGCAAAAAGAACTGGTGTAAAACTGTTACATTGCAAATTGAGGTAAGAATAGATCAAGTAGGATGGAACTGGAGGAAAATCACAATTTCAGGAAAACCACCTCCGGTATTGAGAAGCTATTAGGTAGTTCATTGCAACCTTGAGGATGGACTAAAATTAATGGTGTGACTAGAAGTTCCTTTCAGGAATAGAGCATTCCTTTAAAACTCATTTTCATAGCATTTTTCATTCAACCTGATGTTGAAGCTGTGGGGGGAGAAGGGAAACTCAATGTTCGTGTCATACCATGTAAGCACAACAAGGGCAAGGATTTAGTGCCCTAGACGGAGGGAGAGTAAAAACTTAAGATAAGCAGTTTAAAAAAGGGCAGAATAGCTGTTGTTAAGTTAAGGCAAGCACTAGTAGGCCATGATTGAAAAACTGAGCTGACACTCAAAGAGGCTGTAATTGGAAAAAGGTACTAAATGTTTACCTGAACTGTGTTGGTCTTCTGTTTGCAGCTGAGAATTGTAGAAATCATCAGCCTCTGATATGAGAGCATTACGCAACCTGGAAACTGCTGGCGAGGCGTCAACATCTTTCGCTTCGGTTTTGATTAACATATTGTGCAATTGGGTGATATCTAGAGTAGGAGGTAGGAGATCCTGAAAAAGCAGAGAAGTGTGAATCAAGAAAAGTGATTTGTTGACCAACTATATTTTCAACCATAAGATGCTAGCTCCAACGGGACAGTAATTTTTAATTAACAGAATGGACCACTTAGACAAGATTTCTGGACCCATCAGTTCAGCCAAAAGAAGCATTAAACTTGATTTCTGGGTAAGTTTATTGATGCCCGGAAATTTTTTTTTAAAATGTAGCTCCTAAGAACTATACTGGAATCTTCAGGGTTACACTAATGGCACCTCTCAAATGAACTCATTATAATGAGAATTTATTGGAATCAGCAAAAATATTCCAACAAATTACAAATACTTTCTATTGCGCGAAAAGATTGCCACTCACAAAGGACCAGCTTGGCGCAACATGGCACATTGCTGTTGGTGTCAGGTTTATCCAGTTTCAGAAAATCTTAACTTTTTTCAACTCTTTGAAGTAACAAGGTAAAGATTTACACACTGGGTTTGGAGGAGATAAAAAAATTTCATTCAACTCCTCGAGAGCAGCACAATAACTAAAAAATACTTACAGAGACTCTAGAGTTTACAGATGAGGATGTAGATGGTTCTTGAGATACGTTAGACTGCTGTGATCGCTGCTGCTGAGATAGTTGTGAGGTTGATGAAGGCTGCTGGTGCTGGTATTGCTGCTGCTTTTGCTGTTGCTGCGACGATGATACAGCAGACAATTGATGTCTGGTGGGTGGTGTGACACTTTTTGTTGGCGTTTCTGTGACAGGATCTGGACACAGGAAGACTTCAATCTCCTTGGTACTACTTTTCATGTACATTTGAAGAGCCTGTAAGATTTAGAAAATTTGGTTAAATTTTGCTGACACGTATGACAAAGAAAAATTCCTTCTCTTTCAGTGTTTGGTGCTTGTTCTTTCCCAGACCTTAAAATATGGGGTAATGATGTCACTGTTACTTATCGACCATGAATAGCAACCCTGGCGAAGTATATAGCTCGTTTCTTACTTGTAGAGTAAGACAGTATAAAGAGATGAACTATCTTGTAGAGCAGGAAAACTTCTCCATTATGCAAGGATGCAGAAAGTTCCAATCCTTCCCATTTTGAAAACTTATCGTGTCTCAAATTTTCAAGGATGCAAGCTGGCCAAGGTCATTATTTTTTCTTGCAACCATCTGCACCCCTCTTGAACTGGGCCTCCACTTTGAGGGTTTTCATTGAACATAGAAGTGACTAAAACAGATAGTTACTCACTTTAGGATTCGTAGGCTGAGGCACTTCTAGGTGAGCATCTGGAGGAGCTTTAACAACCATGACAGTCTGAGATTGATTTTCGGGTATGGCATGGATGTCTTGATACGTAATATACGCATACCTTTTGTTCTCGTTCATTTGACGTAGCTGGCACTCTGGAATAAAAAGAGAAAACTCATTTATTCATTTAATTTCCTGGTTGATTCTATGCTTAAAATTTAATGTATTAAAATTTATACTAGATTAAACTGTAGGCATGATGCTCTTACAACTAGAATGCTTCTGTAACATTCACCTCACATGTTATCTGATAATCTCATAAAATAAGGTGAAATATATTAGTGCTATTTTTCCTTTCATGTTAAAACTTGCAATAGGTCTTTAATGGACATTCTAATTACTTGACACATATTTTAAGGGTCTTGTATGGAGACCCCAGAACCTAGATAGAGACCTTACGGCCAGAATTTTGGGGGTTTTTAGGGAGAATTTTGGGATTTTTAGCCAGAATTTGGGTCATTACAAATCACAAGAAAATGGGGTCACTAGCTCGTAGATGAAGCTTTGATGTGATATTTTTAAGTAAAGTAGGAATTTGGGTTTGTGAGCAAGCAAAATAGGTTTCAGAAAATGCGATGTGAAAATATTGGACTGAATTTCAAATTTATCGCTACATCTTAGATGCCCTAAGTTGACATACCCCATGAATGCCGAAACTTTCTCTGTAGGGGGTTGTATTCCACATTTATAACGACCGCAGACATGCTCCGGTAAATATTACTACAATACTGAGAACATACCTGCATTTTTAATGAGTTCGTCCAGTTCTCTTTCTTTTGCATCTAATGCATCTATATCCTTTTGGAGAAAACTGTAAGAGTCTCCTGAGACCTGTCCACCCCTGGAAAGGAAAAAGTCCATTAGAAACAATGCATGAAAACCAAGAAATTTGAAAGATAGAAAAATACAGGGCAGAAACCTTCAGAATTGATAGGTATTTATTCATTTTAAATATTCACAAAACGAAAGGACAGGATGCGTTTCTTACCGGTGGAGCAGGAGAAAGATTCAAATAAATTAGAACAAAATACATGATTATTCTTATCACACTTTTGATTGGGAAAATAGAAAATCAACCACCAAGAAAAAAACTCAATCTGCTTGTACGATAGTGTTTCAGTTCAAAGTGATGAAAAAGAGTAAATTCTCGTAAAACTTTAGTAGAGAATGTTTTGAAAAACTAGAGGATCATAGAATTTATTCCTTGGAGAAATGACGTATATTCGCCTGATGGAGTTGTTAAAAAGCAAGAACAGAAATAAATACTTACTTCCACTGAATATTATTTTTTGATTTTTTTTCTAAGATTCCGATGCCTTCTAAAACATTTGTTATGTCATAGATTCTTCTCTTTTGAACATCAAGGCACTCAGAAGCCACATTGAGATCTACTACACCCTGAGGTGAACTTTGGAGCAATCCAATAAATTTCTTCGTTAAAAGACCTAAAGATGTATCATATCGAGTGGGTCCATCTTTTGCTCGACCTGAGAATACAATACATTCAAACTTTAAGCATGAGTTTACAAATTATTACAAGGTAATGCATGTAAAAAAATTACAAGTATCATGAGAGAGATAGTCGATACATTGACCTCTCTTGATGACACATCCAAAAAGTACGAGTTGTTAACTTCTTACAGGAGATGACTTCATTAATCATAATAGAGCATAGACCAAGAGCGAGTTTTGTTTCATCGGTAATAACAAACAACTGACAAAATATATGCATCGCTGACTAATGAAATAAAAATAAAAAAAATAAGCGTTGGGCTATGGTTTCAACCTTGGAGCTTACGGAAAAATCCTGATTTCTTGTGGCTAGTTAAGGACATGAAAATTTAAGTAAATTACAACTGAAAATTAATTCTAGAATTATCATGAAAATTGATGACCGTTTTATAGAAAATTCAATATATAATTGACCATACCCTACCAAAAAGCACTAACGTAAGCAGATAATTTGGAGTAAAAACGTTTGATAGGTGAAAAGAAATTAGTATTGGCAGCATAGCAAACTGTATGCTTGTACAGACATAGAATTTTTAGGGTTTTCTTTTCTAGCTCTTGGCTGGCGAATAATGTTTCAATGAGAAATATCAGATCATTATCCCTTGAAATGAACAAAATTTAGACCAAAATTCTTGGATTAAATGAATAATTTTCTCATGTCATGCCCTTAGATCATATTATTACCCTCTTAAGTATTGAACAACTTAATTTTTTACGTTAAAAAAATGTATACTTGAATAAATGCAGAACTTCAAATCATGAGAAGTCAAAAGTTGCATACTTGTAAAAATATACCATACGTAAGTTCATTGTACAAATACATTGTACAAAAATTTGTACAACAAACGTTCTCACCTTTTTTGGCAGGACTAGGATTGCTAGAGGTAGAGTTGGACCGAGGCCTTTTCGACCTGGGAGCTTTAAATTCTTCATCACCGTTTTCCGATTCTAAATTTAGTCTCCTTTTTACATTCTGGAAATAGAAAATGATGGCACATGTTATTAATCGGTTAAACTTAAGGTAATTTTTTTTTCGTTAACTTGAGTTCAATTATTTTTCTAGGATCCGTCAAGTTCTTCAGTGAATGGTTATCTTGAAAGATACAATTTTCTTGACAACTAGTTAAAACTTTTAAGGAGGAAAACTTCGAACGCATAAATGGAGAGCTTCCTGTTGTCTCCTAATTTTCACACCCAGCATTTTCCTAAGACAAGATACTGAAGTCGTATGAAGTTCAGAACACTCCAACCGTAACCAAACATTTCTGTCATCTATTGTTACAATGTAGTTGTTGGGTTAAGTTCTTATTCTATAATTAGACCCCTTTTTAATCAATAAAATATCTCGCATTGAGCCATGACTTTTTGAAGTTTTCTTTCAATGATGAGCCCATGTCTGAAAAGAATCATAAGCTTTCCTGAAGCCCTGCCATTGCACAATTAAATGTATTAAAAACTTGCGCATCACAACTAATTTCCAAACCATTAATTGCACTCCTCCATTTGACAAAAAAAGAGGGGGTAAAAAAGTGTGTTTGCTCATGAGGAAAAGGATAGAATTTTTCTGATACTTACTAAAGTACGGGGTGGAGCGGTTAATGGTCGTTGCATGATTTGACTCTGAGGAGTTTGCCCATATTCATGGTCCAGTAAGTGGTATGGAGAGGGTGTCTGATGAGTCATCATCATTGAATCTGTATATGGATGATCTGTGAAAAACAACATGAGAACACAACAATTAAGCCGTGAGAAAAGTATGACTTGCAGAATGACAAGATTTCCTAAGGTAGATAGCTTTTGCGGAAGACAAATAACATCACTTTAGTTTAAATCTTCTACGAAGAATGGAAATCCAAAAGCACAATCAAGTATTGCTCAAATTTTGACAATATTTCTGTCATTTTTGAGCGAGGAGGGAAACCACTAAACATAGTAAGTAGAATAAAACCTGTATTTAACGAGTATTAAGACTATTTTACGATATCTACTGAAAATATAAAAGTAAGTAGGGACACAGTGCTTGCATTTTTCTTTCATATTCTGAAGTCCAGAGCACCATTACTACTGTTTTATTTGGATGTTAAAGATTTAGTTTGACCCTTATTTCACATTAAAATAGTTTTCCCTGACTAAGAATTTTTCACAAAAGAAATACGACTATGAACTCAAGCTCAAAACTACTCATTCTCAATTTTTTTTTGAAAATCCAAATTGAGAGTTAGTCTATTCCGCATGATTCGATGTAATCCTAGGCTGAGGACCAGATTTTTCTTCATCGGTTCGTTAGAGTGGACCATAGAGTACATAGAGTCGCAATGTAAGTGGGAGAGCTGGTGCCACTTTTAAGCATTTTCCATGTCCCGAATTCCGAGACTCCTGTGTGACGCCGGGTCACTTTTTCGATACATAATCGATTGTTTGCGATACACGGGTACCCGGTCATCCGATGACAACAACAACAACAACAAAGGAGATAGGAATTACCACGTATTCCACACCGCCATTTTGGATCGAAAATGTATCGAAAAAGCGACCCGAACTCGGCGCACACCGGGCTCGGAATTCGTCGAGCAGAACATGGCGCCAGCTCTCCCATTTACATTGCGACTCTATGTACTCTATGGAGTGGACTCGCCATCTCATACTTAGGTTAAAAAACATGCATATTATTTGCTTGATGACTCACCGATTTTGACGATGGGTGTAGAGACATTGTTCCCATCTCTAACATCCAACGACAAACCACACCTAACACTAGACATCGTTCACCCCCTTCTGAAACAAAGAAAAAGGCAATTCGTAAGTATTTAAAAAACATGAAACAGTTAGGGCATTTAAGTATTACAAACGATCTGCACAGATTGACAGGAAATACCATGATTTAATTTCTGAAAATTTGTTTGGACAAATTATAAAGATTGCAAACTTTCGAATCAAGTTTTGCCGTAGACAATGGTGGCAAATTACGGAAACTTAATTATTTTTAAAAGAAACTTCAGGGTAATACTTTAGGGACCTAGGGGCGGCAAAATCTTAACACGTTGACTGCCACGGTGTTTTAGGTACTTATTTCCCCCGGCGCCATAGCCTTTTTTTTTTGGTATTTTTTTGAGAATTGACTATATCAAACCTAAACTTCATAAACCTTCGTAATATTCTTTCAGCTTTCAGCCTGAAGCCGCCGGTCGTAACGACCGGTATGGCCTCCGGTGAAAAATAATGCACCGGAGGCCACGCCGGTCGTCCGGCCGGTCGTGTGTTCCTTGAGAATCGGCAACGTTGCGTGACTCGCGCGCAGTCAACCTACAACCTCGAACGGCATGGAATTACTGGTAAGGACTGGTAAAACTGGGTAGGAGACAAACCCAGATACCCCCTAACACCGAGTTTCAGGCGAATCCATCGGCAAAAAGTCGAGGTTGCCAATTGTTGACCATTTTGAACTTTAATCGGCGGCCATTTTGAAAAATTAGGGTTTGTTGAAAAATCCAACGTCGAATTCGTTCTTCTCGGGTCAAAATACCCCCAGATACGGAATTTCAGGTGAATCCATTGGCAAAAAATCGAGTTTGTCAAATTTTCGGCCATTTTGAACTTTGACCGGCCGCCATTTTGAACTTTGACCGGCCGCCATTTTGAAACGGTTTGAGATAATGACTTCGGGTTTGCGCGAAAAAATTTCTTTTTTTATGCTCTTTCGAACGAGGTATCACAAAGGGGGTCTTCCCATTTGAAAAAAAAAGTTAGGGCCCGTAACCCCCCCCAAGGGGGAGCCCCCAAAATTTTTTTTTGGGGGGGGGGGGTTCAAAAAGTAGCTCCCTTCGATCTAGGAACACCCTCCAAGTTTCAAATCTCTGCCAAAGATAGAGGGGGGGGGGACTTTTCGAACACCCTGTATTTTACCTTTTTACCCCTACCTCCCCCCTCCTAAAAAATTGTTCCCCCTTTTTTAAAATTTATTTTTCAAGTTGTGCCAAATTTTAAATGTCTAAAATTATTATTGAGGTAAGAAACCAACGATTGTAATTATATTCTAACTTAAAACAACAAAAAATAGCGAAAAAGAAAATTAAAGTTGAAAGAGAAAAAATCCCCCCCCCCCCAATTGTTATTCCCCTTTTTTAATATATTTTTCAAAATGCAGACAATTTCTAAGGTTTGTAACTAATATTAAGCAAGGAAAACAACACTATTGTAATTTTATTGTACTAATAAATACAGATAATACAGATAATAAAGAAAAAGATCCATGAAATGAAAAAAATAAAAAATCCCCCCCAAAAAAAACAAAAAACCAAAAAAAAAAAAAATTCAGTAGTGCACTCTCTTGCTGGGGCCATGCCGGTCGTGAGCCATAAGCGTATACACGGCTCCGCCGGTCGCTGGCCTCACAGTAGCCTAGTAATGCGAGCGAGCGGGTCCCGGTCGAAACGACCGGCGTGGCCCCGGCAGAACCCTTCGAGGCCGGTCGATACGACCGGCGTGGCAGTCAACGTGTTAAAGACCCCAGTTCATTCTGAGAAAACTTTCAGAGTCGAAGAAGTGTTTTTAGAAGAATTTTGGTCGATTTCCCGTAGCAAAATAGGGTTTTCTCTAAGGGTCCTTTGAAATGTAAGGAGAATCGCTCTATAGCATTCCAAAATTATTTGGAAAGCAGGGATGTTCAGGTAATTTTTGGGACACGATTACGAAGTACTAAGTGGTATCTACTGATCTTTTACCTCGAAAGGTTGGAAGATTTCTGCAAATAACGGACCGCGAAAACCCATTCCCATGCTGGTCGAGATTGTTTTTTTTCCCTCTACCTCTCGAAATGATTAACATTAGTGACGCCATGCGTCACGGGAAGGATTTATGTATCCTGAGAGGTAGGAGGGCGCGAGGCGGCGCGGCGCGGACTTAAGAAAATATTTGTGGGAGGGGTAAGGCGCTGGAGACCCAAGGGTGGCCATTCGGCCAGTACACCACCTAGAGTAGCTCTCTGCGCTGTGCAATAATTGCCGGCTAGATCAACACACAAAAGTGGTGAGAAGACAGAATTTAGGCCGGGAAATATGTTTCACAGCGTGTCACGAGGAACGTACCTTCCAGGGTTGTCATGTGAACAAGAAGGCGATATAATGTTTTTTCCCACCAGGTTTCCTCCGGATTCTTTAAACGAAAAAACTACCCTCATTTTCTCGACTGGACGAAAAAATGCAGTAAAATGTGAAAAGAAAAAAAAAAATATCTCCGAAATTTACCCGGGCGCAGTTTGGAGTGGATTTTCAGCAAATAAATACGTTATAATATGGGATTTGCATCGAGTTGTCGAAAAATTCCTACGCCTAAACATTCAAAGCGGAGACCAAACATACCCCAAACATCTTCATACTGGCGAAGAAAGTGAAAAATGACAGAATTAAATTCATTTCTGCTATCAAACATTTGAAGATACTGACTCAGATGAAATTTCGGGTTCAGCAAGTAGCAACAGATAAATCTGTACTGTGATTTGAAAATGATCCTTGCTTTATTATCAGATTTTTTATAACACCTAAGGGTGAGAATATCACTATTTTTTGTGAGAGCCAGAGAAAAATGTTCACCATTCTATGAATACCACCGTAAAATTTTCAGGAGGACGAAAATTGATAAGTCCCTTGGACGAGGGACACTCAAATTATCTATTTTCTTCCGATGACATATAATAGAGGCACACATTTTGAAAAATCGCGAAAGAGATCTAGGAATGATTCGAGTCTTTCTCACTCACTGCGGCAACAGCGAGTCATTGAGAAGAAGACAGCATCACTTTCACATCCGCCGCTGGGCTCCCAACAATTCTAGGAATCTCTTAACAGGTATCGAACCAACTCAAGGGCCGAAATCCCGAACGCATTGGGGTAAAAAAACCTAAGGCCTAAAGAAGAGAAACAATGTCTTCACCAAACAAAAGGCTCTCTGCGCCTACGGTACTACAATTTCAGGATGTCATTCTTTCAATTATCCATTGATGTTTCGTGTCTCGGCATTCTGCAGCATGATCATTTACTTTTGATATCTATTGACCTTGATGGATACGCGCCGCGCTTCTATCGGATTCATTTCGTAGCGACCATAGACTTAGCCCGGTAGATACGCCTCTAGATACGGCACTAGATATTTATCCCCCACACCGGAGGTGGTGGATAACTCTGTATCTATCGATATTTGAGGTTAGGTGATCGATTTTATTGTAGAAAACTGGTTGTTTCTGCTGATTAAGTTCAAGTTAATATTTTTAAAACTGGCACGAGTATTAATTTCATTACGAACATACTCGCAAACCGTATAAATATTACACTTTGATAATTATTTGAAAAAAAGAACAAAACTTAAAATAATACATTTAAAGAATAAATTAATTTGTTTTACACGTTTATAAGTCAAAATTATTCTTTTGGTGAAATATAACCTCAAAATACAATTTTGAAATTCCATTTTAAAAAGAAATAAATTAATATAGTATGAATTGAAATAAGACGATATATTTTTGTATTTCCCGCGGAAATCACGATAAACTACGGAAATCGCGCTCGTTAAAAATCGTGCTCCTAATTTTCCGTACATTTGAGGTTATGCTGTTCACATTCACGCGCGCAAAGCAACGCGCAAAGTCACTTCTTCTTCTTCGGGGATGGAAGGATGAGCTGTGATTGGTTGAAAAGAAAAAATTATTTTCAGTTAGATCGTGAAACACCGCGATCCGTATCCATCGTACTTCTAGATATACTTATCCATCTAGAGCTCATCTACCGCACTAGATACGAGGTAAATGGTCGGCAGCTTACGGAGCGATAGATCACCAATAGATAAATATCCCGCATCCACTACCCGTATCTAGCGAAGTAAATGATCAAGCTGCTGGCATCAAAAACCTGGGAGACGTGACACTTTTGGGAAAGTGCCGATTTTTATGCGTGGGAAATTTTTGTAACTTGGTGTCTTCATTTGCTTGCAAGTTCACAAAATGGGATGATATCGAAGCAACTTTAGACTTGTCCACCCATTGTTCTCTGATTAAAACGCTCCGTTAAGAGAAAACCTGTTCGCCTTGGAACTCTTTATTTTCTTTGTACGAGTTTCTAACGGCATGACAGTCGTTCTGATTGTGAGAGGAAGAAGGGGTGAGTTTTCGCCGCTTTTGTATTAGCAGAGCCTTTTCGGAGGAAATTATAAACGGGAATGCGTAAAGTTGCAATTTTCTTGCTTCCCAAAGCAGTATAAATAAAAGAGAGGGACGGAAACAAATACTATCAAGAAATCAAACAAGGATATGCTGAGACTCTGGTATTTTGAAAGAGGTCCCCAGTACCTTGGCGTGTTTTTTCATCGAAGTCGTCTTCAAAGTAAACGAGTAGGTCCTTAAGGTGAAAATATTTTAAAAAAAAGATGAAATTCTAGAGAAAAGAGGTCTCAGAAGTCGGACAAAATGTGGACGTTTTAAAGGCTTTTAACTCCGTTTATGCAGAAATTTGAGGTTCTAAACGTGGCTCAATTGGCCCCTTGAAATTTAAAATGTGACGACATAAACATCAAAATTCTTAGTTTTACACTGGAAAAAAAACACATTGGATCTGGAGTCCAGACTCTTAAAACATCGACAAGAAAAAGTACTCTTGGTTTAATCAGAATCTAGCTTAAATCAAGAACCGAGCCTCTTAATTAAAGCGGATTTCGTTCAGATTCAAGCTTGAATCTGCTTGAATCACGAGTATTTTTTCTTGTCAATGTTTTCAAGAGTCTGGACTCAAGATCCAACGCGTTTTTTGTTTTTTTTTCCAGTGTAGTCCAAAATATCATGTCCGACCTCTCTAATTAACTCAATCCACTGTGCGGCGCGAGAAAACTGTCGGCCCAGCCCGGTCGTTCCGAGCCCGATGTGCGGCGGCCCATTTGAATTCCCGCCGCGGGTCCACCGGAAAAACGACATTTTTTTCGCCGCGCCGCCGCCCAAAAACCGTGCCACGAGCTTGGACTCAAAGGAACTGACCGAGGCGACCCGGCACGCTCCACGCTCCCACCGGCCGCGGCCAATGGCAGTATCATCATGAGTTATTCGATTACCGAGGGTCGGCGCGGTTCCTATCGACCGGGGGAGCCGAAGCCGACGGCGAGTTCCAACTTCGGGAGAACTATAAACATACCAGCCAGTCATCAAAACAAGCGGCTTAATGAGCCACGAGGCTTCCCAAACCCCCGACTCGAAAATGAAGCTCCATTCGATACACTCAGTTTTGAGGAAGAACTCCGTAAGAGCGACTTGATCTGCCATGCTAAGGAAAAACGCAGTATGAACCTCCAGGTGTTGCCAAATTTCCTTTGATAAAACACAAATTTCCTGGTAAACTTATGAATATTTTCTTTCCAATTTTTCAGAGGCTTTTGCTTGCAATTTCACCTAAAGTTCCTGAAAGTTTCGAGGAAAAATATTCAGAGCTCTCCTCAAAAATTGACAATTTATCGAAATAAATTTGGCAACTCTCGAATGTTTATACGGCGTTCTTCCTTAGCACGGCAGTAATTTAGCCGAATCTCCCTTGATAAAGTGATTAATTTTCGAAAGAAGCTATGGATATGTTACTTCGAAATTGGTGCATAAGCTGCATTAAATTGTGTTTGAAAGTCTCTGAAAATTTCATGGAAAAATATCCTCGAGATACTTGGAAAATTTGTATTTATAGAGGGTAAATTCGGCAACACCCGAGGGATCATAAGGCATTCTTCCTGCTCCGTATGTAGTAAGAGAGGCTGAGTCGCTGAGTGAGACGGTTTTTCACAACTAAGAGGAAGATATGAGATCATTTGGCTCCTCCGTCTTGATCCGACAAAGATAAAATGGACAGAGGTCATCAGAAAAGAAACGACCCACATTAAGTTGAAACTGAGAAAAAGAAGTTTGAAGTTTTATTCCTGCACAAGGCCCAATGTAAAGAATAAACCTTAATCTCTCTTTTCACGACAAAATATCTGTTTTTAGACTTTCAGTTTCTGGCAGGAGAAAATTTACGGCTGGTGAAACTGAAAAACATTCTTAACTCAACTTTTTCGAAAATGTGGGTTGGTTTCTTTCTGATAAATTCGGTCCGAATACAGGAAGACAAATTCTAAATCGACTGGAATGTCTTAGAGGGTACGATAATGTTCCTCTCCTTACTGCGTGCCGCTCATTCTATCGAGTGCGCCTTCAAATATCAGGACAGCAATTTGCGCGACATGAGAGGACGAATAGTTGCGCGAAGTGGTTTTGCCACTTTCGTCCTCTGCAGCGGACTGATTGTTGAAATTGATAGACAAAGAAGACAAAAAGGGCACGGAGGGATCCTACTGGTGGAAGCGGGTGGTTGCAATGGACATAGGAGGAAGGCAATAGACTAACTAACTGCAACCCACGAGAGATCCTATAGTTAGTCCATCATTTTCTCCCTTAGTCCATACGAACCACCCACTTCAACCAAGGATCGCTCCATACTCCCTATGTCTTCTTTGTCTATCGCTTTTTCTATCAATTTCAACTATCTGCCTGCTGGCGAGGAACACAAGTATTAGAAGTCCTGATCTTCAATAGAGCCGGCATAGTATTGAATCAAAACGATCGAAAATTTTATATAATTGTCTTCTCCCTTGCTACACTGGAAAAATAAGATATTGGATCGAGAGTCCAGACTCTTAAAAACATCGACAAGAAAAAATACTCTTGATTCAACCAGATTTAAGCTTAAATCAAGAACCAAGCCTCTTAATTTGAGCGGATTTCCTTTTGATTTAAGCTTAAATCTGATTGACTCAAGAGTCCTTTTTCTTGTCAATGTTTTCAAGAGTCTGGACTCTGGATCCATGTGTTTTTTTTCTAGTGTATGCTATTTTTTCAGGTGAAGGAGGCAACAGCTTTTAGTTCCCGGAAACCAACGAGAAAAATTCCGATAGAATCCTTCTTATAGAGACATACTCGGTCGCCGCACCCGATCGATGAAGTTTGAGAGGCTCATTAATTGGCTATTACTCCCTACTTTCATGCGAGTGCGCGCTCAAGAGCTGTCTTCACGGATCGATAGAGTTAAATTCGAGCATAAGAAAACTCTAAGAAGGAAAGAACTATAGCTGGTAAAAAATTAAAGCCTCGTATCAGGAAGATCGCGAAGATGTATTTGCCTTCGGAAAATACACTCAAAATTATTTCGGCATTAGTTAACTGCTATAAAATGATGCTAGAGCACGTGCTCACACCCAGGGAAATCGGTGTTAAAAATTAACAATAATGAGTATATTGCACGGAGAAAAAAACCTCGTGCGTGGGACCCGAAGTTTAGGCAATACCATCTCCCAATACCTGGCCATGGGTTTGAGGTTAAATGTTCGTAACTCCCGAAAACACACGGGATCGTATAGGGGAGGACTTTTAAAAGTTGATTTTTTTACATGAGAAAGTGAATTTATTCTAGGCGTGGAATTTTCAGTTGAATATTTTGGCAAGTTTTATCGAAAGAAACAAATTTTTTCGGCAGAATCACATTTTAAATTAAGGAAAAAAGTATTAAATGCATGTCACTGTACTAAATGTATGGGAGATAACCGGGAAACGTATGCAACCCGCCAAACGTAGCCCGGCGGCTTCCCTTTGTTTTTGGGAGATATTACTCACACACTCTCACGCGTATTCTCCAATGGCCAGGAATTCTAAGTAGGAATTGGTTTAGGTCATATGGGTCTCTAAAGTTTTCGGATTGAGCATCAGAACACTTAAGGTCTAGCTGTCGAGGTTCGGATCACACATCGGAAACTTCAGTTCTTACAACTGAAGTACTTCGGTTTTCACATCCGAAAAACTTCGGTTCTCACATCTAAAGTACTTCAGATGTCAGACCTGAACTTCGGCGACTAGACCTTAAGTGTTCAGATGCTTAATCCGAAAACTTCAGAGATCCATAAGACCTAAACTTCGGGTCTCACGCACGAGGTTTTTTTTCTCCGTGTGGAAAGGCATCAATATGAGGGAGTTATTTACGAAAGAAAAAAACGAACCTGAGGAAAACACTCGAACTACCTTGACCGAACCTTTGAAAAATGGATGACATAAAGAAATAAAGGAAACATTTTGAGGGTGGCTTCTTCCAAGAAATAGACCCTATATCACCTGTCGAACGCCAATAGTAACTCCAACGAGCTATTCTTGGGTCATGAGCTCGATTTCAGAACTTCGCGATCGAGACGACGATCGCAAGTTCAGGGATTCAGCTATGGATTTTGATTGCAATCTAGGGCTACATTTGAGTGGGATAATCTTGGTCTGACGCCAAAGTTACGATGTGAGGACCGAGAAACGTGATTTCAGCGTGCAACACGTGACCGCTACTGATGCATGTAGAAACGGGAAGACGTTCCGATGTAAATGATTTGCCCATTTTCGAAAACTTCGAACGCACGGAGAAAAAATCACCAAAATTGAAAATCCGCGAAGAAAAAGAGCATAAAATAATACTTTCCGTTGTATCGGGCAATGATAATGAGGCATGGATAATGAAAAAAGCAAGGTTCCGAATTGAACATTAAGTTCCACAATAATTAACTTCCGCAGTCTATTTCGGAGTCAGTTAGCCGCAATAAAGCCAGATTCGAATGTCCACGACGGTGCTAAAGTTAATTCATATTCCTACTTCTCTTGCGCCGGCCTTACACGTGCACGGGTAGAAATCTCAGAGAGAAATACGGAGTGCATTTCACTCGGGAGCCTATTTTGCCTCCAAAATTGCCACGTGACAGAAAAAAGGCGAAGCGAAGAGAGGAGGTTTTCCACTCCAAAAAAGAGAGTGAAATGCACTTCGGATCTAACTCAAAGATTTGTGACAGTGTAGAGGAAAACGCTGGACAAAGAACATACTATTTTGGGAAAATGTGGACGAAGAAAATACCATTTTGGGAAGATATGGACAAAGAACATACCATTTTGGGAAAATATGGACAAAGAACATACCATTTCGGGAAAATGTGGAGAAAGAACCTACCATTTTGGGAAAATCTGAACAAAGAACATACCATTTTGGGATGAGTCGCGTAGCGTCCCTCCTCGCACCACCGGTGTCACCTTGAGCAAGGGGTCGTTCTCTGCGGGGCGGTCGGGATTTTCAACCCCTCGGAGTCTCCGAGTCATGTATTCGACAAGGAAGCGATGGCGGTTTTCCTCGTTCGGACGCGGAGTTGGAACCAAACTCGGGATTTCTCCTCCATCATTCGGGAGTCCCACGTGGTGGTCAGTTTCGAGAGCGGGAAGGCCAAGACGAAGGATCACGTGCCGCAAGAGACGAGGTCGAACGAGATCCGGAATTCGAAGGGCATTTAAGCGGGGAACTACCACGCGGTGCCCGACCGAGCACGTGGAAGGCGAAGCTTTGAGGTTAGGTTCAACTTGGGATACGGGAGCGCGCGAGGGGTTGGAGCGTGGGTCGTTGGGAGCGGCCGAAGGTTGACTGATTCGGGACTCGGATCCGAAGAAAAGAAAATTGGAATCGGAAGTGTGGACGGAGGGCAGACGCCGGGCGCGGGGCGGCGGAGAGAGGGAGCGCCGGGGGGCAGAAAACTAACATAAAGGAGGCAAGAGGAGACGCGGAGTGGCGCGCGGCGCGGCGTTTGATTACGGGGTGGCTAAACGGGGACACTGCCAGGTCGCGCCGGGATCCCCGGCTCTCTCGCCCGGAGAGCGGGGCTCTTCCGACGAAGGCGCAACAATGGGCGAAACCTCGAACGCGGAGTTGCCGCCGCCGCACCGCGCGCCGCCGCCGGTCGCGGTCGGCGCCGGCTGCGCCTTTCCAGGACCCTTCCCGTTAGCGTTGCTATGGACCGTCCGAAAACCCGAGGATCTACCCGCCATGATCCACGCATCGAGTGGAAAATATCCACGGCATACAGCGAGAGGCAATCGGGTGCTGTGAGCTTGAAACAGAGGGAAGAAAGATTGCCAATGGAGATGTTGCGTGTGTGAGGAATTTGCGGTTTGACTGTTGATTCTTATGTAAAAGTTCGCGAGAAACACGATGGTGCCACTGGTTTTCTCTGAAATCAACGCCCAAGCTTAAAAAAAGCTCTCGAGTTGAGGCCAAAATAGAGGGGATATCCCACGCTATTCTAAGAGTCCACCTCTACATCAAGACAAACTCTCCATGCAAAGATAGGGAGCAAATACATTGGCAGAGCTGCCGCTTTATTTGGGGACTCCAAAACTGAAATCACGGCATCTCTGCTAATGTATTTGCTCCCTATCTTTGCATGGAGAGTTTGTTTTGATGTAGAGGTAGACTCGCAGGATAGCGTGGGGTATCCCCTACATTTTGGCCTCAACTTGAGAGCTTTTTTTGAGCTTGGGAGTTGATTTCAGGGAAAACCAGAGGCACCATCGCGTTTCTCGCGAACTTGTACAAAAGAATCAATTGTCAAATCGCAAATTCCTCACGCATGCAACATCTCCATTTCGTTCTTCCATCAAGTTCGATGTAATAGACAGGGATTACATTTTTCAGTACTTCATATTTTTTACCAACTTCAAGAGGTTACCTTAGACGACCAGCCGGGTTGGTTTAGGAGTCGATGCGTTCGACTTTAGGCCAATCCAAGGAGCCGGTGGGTGGATCTGCTGAAACAGATACCCCTCGGCCTCACTCCATGAAAATTTGAAAAGCCTAGAGCAAGGATGTGCATATTTGGATCACATTTTGCGATAAGTCACCACTATCTCTGACTTTTCTATAAAAACACCTTTCTGCATAGGGAAACCGATGGCATGTATGCTGTTTCTAAAATGAGCCAGAAATAGTGGTTCCTTATTGCAAATGAGGCCCATTTGTGACCTCTGATGTCTACGAACGAAAGTGTGTGTCTGTGGTTCACTGTGGGTTCCGAAATTCATTTGAACCATTCCTTAATTTCGCCAGAAAAATGAAAAGAGAGGGAAAAAAGTACTTTCATCAACAAAAGTTGTTTCGTAATACCGTCGACCTATTGAGAAAAGCCGAAACGCTTTGCAAAAATATTTTAAAACAGGGAAGTGCTAATTGGTTCGGCTTGCAGTATAAAAGGATGAGGAAAAACTAAGTAAATCAAATTAAAGCCATCCCAATCTACTCCTGCCAGAGATGCAAGATTTTCAGCAAGATCAAAGGTAATAAAGAACCGATAGATATTTTCCACCGATGTTTAAAGTATAATAAAAAAAAGTATTCTACCTCATCAAGAAGCACAATGAAGCACAAATTAAACCAACTGAATTCAATCAGTTGCAGACTACCTAAATAAAGCTCTAAAACCTGATTTTTAAAAGAAATATACCTAGATCGGCGAGTTTTTAGTGCCGATCAGATCGTAAACCACGGAGAGGAACAACTCCGCTCTATTCCTCGATTCAACCCTGAACTTCCTAATTTTTCCAGATTGCTTCCGATTGCCTGATGTTTTAGTACTTCTACATATTAATTATTGAAAACTCATCGACACGACACACTGGAAAAATAAAAAACACATTAGATCTAGAGTCAAGACTCTTAAAAACATCGACAAGAAAAAATACTGTTGATTCAGTCGGATTTTTGCTTAAATGAGGAACCAAGCCTCTTAATTTAAGCGGATTTCCTTTTGATTTAAGCAAATACTGATTGAATCAAGAGTATTTATTCTTGTCAATTTTTTCAAGAGTCTGGACTCTACATCCAATGTGTTTCTTTTTTCCAGTGCACCTCGAAAACGCAATAAATCGCACCGCGATGTATCGTGCCCGCGGATGAGTCTAAACCCGGGGTTGATAACATCGAACCGGTTTGATCATCGGCGGGCGAGACGGGGTTTTTCCTCGGCGAAAGCGGCAACACGGAGGCCGAGCACGAGAGCCGCTGGGCCTTTATTTCGCCGAGCAGGAGGATTCCAGGTGTAATCCACGATCCGCGGCATGGCGGCGGCGACAGGGTTCAAGGAGCCAGGCTTGCCCGACTTCCCTCGGCGTCCCGCGCCGGAGCCGGCCCTCGCCCCCGGCGTCCCCGCACGGCGCGGCAACGTCGCGGCGAAACCATCCCTCGGCGGGCTTCCAGCATTTCTGGGGATCCGCCCGGCCGTGCCACAGTGAACGGGAAACGACGCGGAGCCTCGGGAATACTGCCGTGCTAAGGAAGAACGCCGTATGAACATTCGAGAGTTGCCACATTTCCTGCGATAAAATGTTTATTTTTTAGGAATGTTATGAATATTTTCCTTTGAAATTTTCAGACATTTTAGATTAAACTGCGAACAAAATTCTCTGAAAAATTGGGAGGAAAATACTCATAGATTCACGAGGAAATTCGCGTTTTATCGAAGGAAATTTGGCAACACCTGAAGGCTCATACGGCGTTCTTCCTTAGCATGGCAGAATATTCCGGCGGGAGCGGGGCCGTCCGGCAAGGCGGCATCAGCCCCGAACCCGAAGAATGGGAAGATGGAGGATGGGACTCGGTGAGGACGCGCAACGCGGCTCGCTGGCCTATTTCCCAGGAATGAAAAATACGGGACTGGGGTGGAGGCTCGAGTGCCGAGGATGCGACTGGCGTTCTCACGGCGAGACGAGGAGTTTACCCGTAACAGGGACGCGATCAGAGACAATATATTACACAGACCCCACACTCTTAAACAAGTGATGTAATCGAGAGAGAAACAAGACGGAGATCAACGCAGTTTAGATAGTGGATAGCAATAGAGAAAAACCGGGAACACTGAATGGGATACATGCAAAAAAGTTATGATAAAAAAACTTGCACTCCTTTTAGGGTGTCTACTGAAACATGCTGGCCAAAAATCAGTGGTTTTACTATACTTTTTCAGTACATCCCCAAGAAATTCAGTACCGCCGATTGAGAAAATTCGAAAAATTTCGAAAATTTGAATAGCTCGCTCGAATTGCGACAGAAATGACAAAAAATGAAAAAAATTCCGGACCTTCTTGCGGAATTTCCATACTTTTTCAGTACTTACGGACCGCCCTTAAAAAATCAGTACTATTTCCGGACTTTTCGGAAATTCCGGACTTGTAGACACCCTGAACCAGAGGGAAGAACTGCAGATGGATTAAAAAACACCTAGGTGGCTGTAAAGTTTAATGGATTTTTGGGATGATTTTTGCAAGCTCTATCCTTGTTTTCGGGCTCTGCTGAGCTCGCTCGAGGCATTCTAATTTTTCTTGTTCCAAACATCATCCGATCTAAAATGAGCGAGAAAAAAGCCTAGCACGAGTGGTCTGTGACACCTTGAATGAGCACTGCAACGCTGTATCACGCCTGATGGCTACATCGTAGTGTCAACGATAGTCTTCATCTTAGAGTAACATCAACGGATGAACGTGTGCCCCAGAAAAAAGAAAAAAGAAAAAAAATGATTGATTAAAGTTTTTTTTCTTTCATCGAACCAAATAATCTAAAAATAATAAAAAAAAATTATTAGGCATTCTTTTCAATTTATTTCTTAAACAACACACGGGTAGAATAAGACGGAGCAGCGCTTCATATGCTACTACCTCCATCAAAATAAGCGACGCATTCAACTGATGGTAATAACATAACGCCTTGATACAACTATTCGTACTATATGGACACGCGTGTTGCATGAGAAAAAATGGAAGGCGTTCCGGTCACTCAAATCGATAAAGCAGTGCAAGCAGCAGCGCACGGCAAGGCACCCAGTGCGAATATGTTGCAAGATGAAATTCTCCGAGAAAAACTAAGGAGAATGGACAGGAAAACAAATCGCACAATTTTCACACATAAGGAAATTACTAGGGGGTTGTGCCCCCTGGCCGCTACGCGTCTCAACCCCCTGAGGATGAGTACTCGTACTGTATTTCCAAAACGAGCTTTGAACTCAAGCCAAAGCTATCATCGAAAGATTTCCTCGTCATAAGCTTTCGCTTGGAATGGATTTGAAAGAAATCACCGCGTTTTCAAAAGAAAAAAAAGGGGGGGGGGGCTTTTTTGACATGCTCTACACCTCACGGATCATTTCGCGATTCATAAGTAACATACGTAGCGAGAAAAATTAGGAGTTTAAAAAAATAGAGGACAGTGATCCGATTAGGATCGCGAACAATGGTTTTACTTTAAATCTTATGATCTTAAAGCATCTTTTCTTTTCTTTTCAGTAATCGGCCGGAAGTGTAAATGGCTAATACTCGAGAACCGAGGACACAAAGCAGGAAACACGGATTCAAATTCAGCGAGCTGCGGTGGAACTTGCAATAGCGCCTATTGAATTTGGCCAGACAACAGCTGATCGCGTTGCATCAGCTGACACGGAGGGAGCACCCCGGTGGGGTGGGGGATGGGATGGGGGATGGGGTGGAGTGGTTGACACTCGCGACAGCGTACCCCGTGCCCCTCGCCAATCAATGAAAGGGCGCTCACCCTGCGTCCCTGACTTCTGGTTTGCCCGTGACCTTTTCTTTTTCCGCCGCTGAGCC